TGTGCGTGAAACTTAACTCAAAAGTAGCACTTTTCTTATCGCCCCCCACCCCCCCCCCCTCTCTTAGAGTACAACTTATACATTTATGAATCTTTTTTTCAGGTGAAAGAATCATGGCTTGAGGTCCAGCTTTGTCAAGAAGGAACCCGAGACTGTGTTGCTTCAAATACTACCAGCCCATCAGGAGTGCTGAGATTTCCAAAGAGAAGCAATGAAGAAACGGTATTCTGAATGTGTTCGTGTGTGTACGCACCTATTTTCTTGAAAAGACTCTATACATCTATTAATATATACGTATACAGTTTAGTGAATGGCTATCTGTCATTTTTGGCACTCTATATACAGAGCTTCAGTTGAGGGATCCCTCAAATAACTTATTTGAGGGACACCCTTATTGGGCCCACTCCGTATTGTATTTCACTAATCCAAACCGTTGATTTTGTAAATATTCATTCAAAGATCATCTCTACAAAAAAAATCACTTGAATCCGATATCATTTGACCATTCAATTGAATTATTGAAATTTTAGTACTTTCTTGAAACACTGTATTCATTGATTTTGCAGGACACAATTAGATGTCGAAACGGTTTCCGATTCGTCTATTTTTTTGGTCCTTGATGTAACTGACTTGATCTAGGACAACTTAGATGGTCTATAGGGGTTTTTAGACAAGTTCTTTTCGATTTATTCTCTCAATATAGAGCTGACTCTTGTCACTGGGAAGCTATGGCTCTCAATGTACTTTTTCAATTGATCTACTAAAATACTATCGTTTGTTTGGTAAAATAAAAATAATGATTACAATTTTTTCTTTTTTGTAAAATTGAATGAAATGAACTGAACCCTTACAATGCTACCCAAAAATATGGACACTTCAATTGAAAAAGTGACATTGTTTTCGTTATAAATTTTGGAGTACTCAACTATTTAAATATGAAATTTTTTATACCCAAATGATGAAAAATGCATAAATAAGAAGGGGCAAAAAAGTGTACAACGCATGTTAACCATTTTCAACTGGTCTAACTACATAGAAATCAAGAACTCTTTAGCCTCTTATAGGCGTCGGCGCAAACCGCAATGTTGGCCGTGTTACAACACACAGATGCCACCAATGAGCTCCATACAGAATATTCCGGTAGCATAGCCCGACTCGTCATCTCCTCCAACCACATAACAGCTTCATATTGCTTGCCCACTGAGCAAAGGCCAGTAATAACTCTATTGTAAGTCTCAGCACAAGGCCAATGTGACTTGATCAACATCTCCTGCAATACTCTGCTTGCTTCAGGAAATCTACTCTCCCCACAAAGCCCATCGACCAAAATGCCATAGGTTTTCTTGTCTGCAACACAACCCACCTGCTTTTCCATCTTCTTCAGATACAAAATGGCCAAAACAGACTGCCCTTCGCTACAAAGGCCTCTTACCACAACACCATACACTCTTACAGTTGGAACACAGTTTGCCTCCACCATCTCCTTTTCAATCACCTCCACTGCTTCAACAACTTTCCTTTCCCT